CGCGCAGGGATGACGACAGACCAACACCCGCCCACACGAAACACAGCATCCGCAACACGCCATCCTCTCATGACGCCCTCTCTTAGTGATATATGAAAGCGTACTGTGGTAGTGACGGGGCCGACTCCCGCCCACACGAAGCGACAGACGCGAAACCAGTGTCTCCGGAAAGCCAATGCATCATGGTCTAATGTGCGGTCGTGATGTCACTTCTCAAGCCCTGGGTTTAATTGCACGCTGCGCCCTCCCGCCCTGCCTGGGTGCAGTCGGGCAGGGGCGTGGTCCGGCTTTCATCTGTCGGTCCGTCTGTCTGCCCCTGTCTCTGTGTCTGTCTCTATCCTCTCTGTCTCTGTCTCTGTCTCTGTGTCTCTGTCTCTGTCTCTCTCTCTCTCTCTCTCGCTTAGGTGTCATTCTTTCTGTTTTCTCTCGCCACTTTCCCTTTTTCTCTATTTTCTTCCCTTCTTTCTCTCGGTTTTGGTCTGTCTTTACTTACTTTATTTCGCTTTCTCTGTCTGTCTCTGTAATTGTCTACTTGTATCGATGTATGTGTCTCTCTCTCTCTCTGTATCTCTTTTTCAATCTTTTCCTTCCTTTCTCCCTCCCTCCCACCCTCCCTCTCTGCCTCTCCCCCACGGAACACCAAGCAACAAAACAAAAACAAAACAAAAACCACACAAACAGAAAACGCAAACCGAGCGCCCAAGACCTGAATACACCGGACACAAGACGATGCAGGGAAAAAAAAGGGTTGAACTCCGTTGAACATGTATGAGTCCTTGTGCAGACTCCGCGCTCCTTGGAGGCTGACCTCCCTGCGTACGAGCATTGAGGGGGTCACGGGCCTGGGGAGGGGGGGGAGGAAGGGGAAAGAGAAAGAGGAGGGGGAAAGGGGAGGAGGAAGGAGGAGGGAGGGGGGAAGGAGAGGGGAAAGGGAAGGAGGGGAAAGAGGAGGAGGAGGAATGGAGGAAAGGGAAGGAGGAGGGGGAGGGAAGGAGGAGGGAGGGGGGAAGGAGGG